TTTTTTTTAAAGTGCTCATTTAAGAGCCTGTATTAGCCAGGTGCGGTGGTGCATGCTGGTTATCCCGTGGATCAGGAGGCTGAGGCAGGAGGATGGCGAGTTCAAAGCCAGCCTCAGCCAAAGGGAGGCTGTGAGCAACTCTGGGAGACCCTGTCTCTAAATAAAATGCAAAATAGGGCTGGGGACGGGGCTCAGAGGTCGAGTCCTTCTTTTCAAAATACCTGTGGCTGTGACATCTGCAATAGGTTGGAAGGCTACAATGAGGGTGCAGACAACGCTTGCTTTGAAATCATCAACGTGACTTACACCAAAATCAGGGAAATGCGAACTTTGCTAGTAAAATCGTCCCCTCTGCTTATTTATTGATAGTACTGGGGGTGCAATCCAGGAATCCAGGGGTGCTTTACCACGGAGACACACCCCCAGCCTTTTGGGGGTGTTTATTTATTTATTTGAGTCCCATTCTTGCTAGATTGTTGAGGCTGGCCTTCCATTTACGATCCTCCAGCCTCAGCCTCCTGGGTGGTTGGGGTTTCAGATGTGCACCCCCCCACACACCAAGCCTCTTTGAATTTCTTGCATATTTCAACTCTAAGGACAACAGGGAGAGATATCGACAAGATCATAGTATTTTAAAAAAAAACAACAACCACTAGATGTCTAATATTGCAAATTAAATGTCTGTGGGTTCATGTCACTGACGCCCACTTCTGTTTGTGATTAAGCATCCATTCGGGCACCAGGGAAATAAATGATTCATCCTGAGCCGAAAATGAGCTTTGATTTACGACTGGGACATCCACCCTTGGCACGGCCCCCGCGAAGCTCTTCTGTGTTTCTTTAGATTGAAATCGATCCTGTCTCGTGCCGGGGCGTCACTGGGAACACCTTACAACCCATTATCCCGGAATGAAATTATTTAAAAGGGACACGGGACGCGGTGCATTCGTTCATACGCAGCAGCCCGCTTGGTTGGCTCCGGTCGAGTTTTGATTTGTTTTTTTCTTTTTCTGCTTTAAGTGATTCAGGAGGTTTACAGGGTCGCAGATGAGCATCTGCAGATGCAATAATGCAGGTCTGCTGAGCTACAAATAAATGGCATGATTTGGAGGAAGCATACAAAGTCTAGCCTTCCAGTTGCATGCTTTAACTCCGTGTCCTGGAGACAGAATGCACTGGTCAAACCTGCCTTTCACAGGTCCTCCAGGTAACCCACCTTGGTGGGAAGCAAAGTTCAGGTGGCTTTTTTATCATTTGATTCCCGTGCAATAAGGGTCCGTCACCTCCAGTCCTGTAGAATCTAAATTGCAGCCTTCGACCCGCAGACCTCTGGGGTGCATGCAAGATCTCACCTGCGGCCTCACCCGTGATGCACGACTTTGGGCAGAAGACCTGTCCGGTGCCCGTGCATACCGGCCTGAGAAAAGGGCTCTGATAGATCCCCGTCCCAGTATCTGGGGTCTGAGGCTCATAAAAGGCGCTTCCAACACCCAGATGACTCCGTGCCCGATTTTCAGTACCTCGGCCCCATGTCGTCATCTCCTGAAGGATTTTTGGGGCTTCCAAATATAACACGTGGAACCGGAAAGAAAAACAGAACAGAAATTCCTCGTTGCTTTTTCCGAGGCTGGCCTCCAACCCGAGATCCTCCTGCCTCAGCCTCCTGAGCCCCTGGGATGGCAGGCGTGCATGCGTTTTCTATGAAAGGCTGACCTCAGTCCTTTTCGATGAAGAGCCCGATGGTCTGACAGTCATTTTGTACCCTACAGCTTGTCATGTCCGGGAGCCCAGGTCCAGAAAAATCTCTGTGCTACTGCAATGAGAAAATCCACTCACGGAGGCTACTTCTTGCTGAAGGAAGAATTCAGTGCATTGGACGGTGCAGCAGACTCCGCGTTGCTCACCTGAGGAGTCCCTCCAGCCTTTACCTGCTGCCTCCGAGGACTTAGATGTGATTGAATCATTTTTGACCTTAGTGTGGCCTCAGGAATTTCTAGGTAATTTGATTGGATTCAGTGGCTCATTGACGAGAGTACATTTCTCTGTAGCTGCCCCACTCATAAAGCAAAATGAATTCAACCAGCCTTCCAAATTCTCTCCACTCTTGCAGAAAAATGTTCCCGGTTTGTCATTCTTCCCTTAAGAACGCAGCTGAGTGTGGTGGGGCAGGCCCATAATCCCAGCAGCTCTGGAGGCTAAGGCAGGAGGATCACAAGTTGGAGGCCAGCCTCAGCAACTTAGTGAAGCCCTAAGCAAGTTAGGGAGACCCTGTCTTTCTTAGAGACAGGGTCTCGCTAACTTGCTTAGGGCTGAGGATGAGGCTTGGTGGTTAAGGGCCCCTGGGTTCAATCCCTGGTACCAAAAAAATAAAAAAAATAAAAATAAAAATGTGGGGTTTCATTGATGTATCTGCATCTGATCTTCTTATGACCTTTAGGTGGCGACTGTAAGAAATCTTCATGAAGAAGCGTAAGATGGCCAGAGAAGCCCAACATGTTGTCGTGTTTGTTGATCGAGGAGATTTCTTCTTCTGTGCACAGTCTCTAGCCATTAGAGAGATGCAAATCAAACCTACTCTAAGATTCTGCGTCCCCCCAGTCAGAATGTCAATCGTCAAGCATACAGGCAACAGTAAGTGTGGGCGAGGACGTGGGGACAAGGCTCCCTCCTACGTGGCTGGTGGGACTGCAAATTGGGGCAGCCACTCTGGAGAGCAGGATGGAGATTCCTCAGAAAACTGGGAATGGAACCATCATGTGACCCAGCTGTCCCACTCCTCGGTCTATACCCAAAGGGACTTAAAATCAACACACTACAGGGACACAGCCACATCCATGTTTATAGCAGCACAAGTCACAATAGCTAAACAGTGGGACCAACCTAGGTGTCCTTCAGCAGGTAAATGGATAAAGAAAATGTGGTATGCCTACACAATGGAATATTACTCAGCCATGAAGAAGAATGAAATGATGGCATTTGCAGGTAAATGGATGGAGCTAGAGACTGTCATGCTAGGGAAATAAGCCGATCCTAAAAAAACCCTAAAGGTTGAATGTTTTCTCTGATATTTGGACGCTAATTCACAATAAGGGGGGGTCTGGGGAAGAACAGAGGTGCTTTGCATTAGGCAGAGGGAAGTGAAGGGAGGGAGGGGTGTGGGGTAGGGAGGACAGGAGAAGGAATAGGACATTGTGACCCTGTGTGCACATGTGACCACAGGACCAGGGTGATTCTGCACCATGTCCAACCAGAAGGAGGAGAAGGGACACTCCATCTATGTGGGACGTGTCCAAGTGCCGTCCACTGTCTTGTGTCACTGATTAGAATTCTTTAAAAAGAAGGGTGTCATGATGTCACATGTGCTGTGGCATCAAACGACATCAAAGAAGGCCGATTTTCACTTTTCATGCATTTATTCTACATCTCTCCAACGTCATCACCACTTCTCGTTGTGCCTGTCCTTATTGTGGTGACGCCGACATGGTGTCCTCCTAACATTTCTGACTCTCTCCTGTCAGACCTCCGTGTAGGGACCACAAGCCCCATTATATATATATTTATTTTTTTTTAAAATGCCATCGTTGGGGGGGGCTTTGGATAAAGCCTTAATTTTTTCAAATGGTTCAGGATTTCTTTATTGATTTTTGCTCCTCCGAGGGATCGATGTTCTCATTTCAAATTAAAATAGAATTTCGCTGGACAAATCCTATTGGAAAATGGGTCTCATCTCGCCCTTATTTTAAAAGAAATCGACGAGAACGCTGTCATCTCTAGTTTACTTTGACGAGGGACTTTAAGAAAACCTATGCATATTTTTGATCCATCCATCGCTTGAAGGACACCTGGGCTGATTCTATATTTTTTGGGGGAAGGTACCAGGGATTGAACTCAGGGGCGTTCAACCCCTGAGCCCCCTCCCCAGCCCTATTTTGCATTTTATTTACAGACAGGGTCTCCCTGAGTTGCTTAGGGCCTCCCTTTGGCTGAGGCTGGCTTTGAACTCACCATCCTCCTGCCTCAGCCTCCCGAGCCGCTGGGATGACAGGTGTGCACCACCGCGCAAGTGGCTTGAGCATCTATTTTCATTTGCATTTTTGATGCTTTTCATTGCAACAATTGGTTGCAGGAAAACCCCAAAACCCTAAAGATGGAAGCAGACTCCATCCCCCCAATACAGCATCAATGCCTGCAGCCTCCTCCACGGTGGTCCACGAAGCCAAGTTTGATCGTTGAATCACAAAGAGCCAGAAATATCCAACTTCTGCTTTTAAATTTATTTATTTTTTCCTCCAAAGTCCTCTGGACAGAGAGTCTTAGATTTTGGGGTTATTGAAGAGAGAAAAGAATCCTGCCTTGGACCGGTGTCCGATGGTGCCTCTGCGTGTTAAAGGAATAGCTCGGGATATTTCCCCCTCGAAGCAGAAACAGCCTCCCAATTTCCTTTCCAGTCTTTTAGGACACAGTAATGTTTTAGGACCATGAATCTTTTAGGACCCAGGTCCCTTGGGTTTAGACCGAGGAGCGGGACAGCTGGGTCCCATGGTGGCTCCAATCCAAGGTTTCTGACCAGTCTCTGTCCTGCTTTGCAGAGTGGCTGTTCCCCAATTTGCAGTCCCACCAGCAACGTAGGACGGAGCCTTGTCCCCACGTCCTCACCAGCACTTACCATTGTTCTTATTCTTGATGATTGACACTTCTGACTGGGGTGAGACGGGATCTTAGAGGAGTGTTGATTTGCATCTCTCTAGTCGCTAGAGGTGTTGGACATTTTTTCATATATTTGTAAAGGACCTGAAATCAGCACACCACAGGGACGCAGCCACATCCATGTTTATAGAGGCTCAATTCACAGTAGCCAAGCTATGGAACCCACCTAGGTGGATAAAGGAAATGTGGTGCATATACCCAGTGGAATATTACGCAGCCATGAAGAAGAAGGAGGTGATGGCGTTTTATTTCATTTTTTTCTTTCTTTTCTATGTTGCAACCAAATCCAGGGTCTCCTGCACGCTGAGACCCCACTCTGCACCCCTAACGTCTACCACTTTGAGGACGACCCTGGCGTGTCCCTTGGCTTGAGGTTGTGTGTGTAAAAGCCACTCCATTGTCTGGGGTCCCTGATACAGTATCTCACTGGGGACAGTGTTTTCTGTATTGATCCTATTTATAATCCATTGCAGATTTAAAAGTATTTTTTTTAAAAATAGTTCTCATTCCACCATCCTGTGTAACTAATTCAAATAAATTTTTTAAAATTAAAAAAAATTAAAAATTAGTTTGCATTCTACTGTCATGTAAACTGATTAAAATAAATTTAAAACATTTTAAAAAAAACAAATAAAAATAGTTTGCATTCTAGTGTCATGTATAACTAATTCAAATATTTTTAAAAATATTTTAAAAAATAGTTTGCATTCTGCTGTTATGCATGATTGTTGTTTGCATTCTGTTGTTATGCATTGAAATAAATTTAAACCATTTTTAAAACATGAGTAAAAATAATTTGCATTCTAGAGTCATGTAAATTAGTTAAAATAAATTTAAAACATTTAAAAAACATAAATAAAAATAGTTTGCATTCTACTGTCGTGTCTAATTAAAATGAAATTAAAAGGTAAATCAATAAAAAAATAATTTGCATGCTCATGATATCATTTAATCTGCCCCCAAACTGCTTTGATTGATACCACTGTATGCACAGAAATTACACAGCTAGGGCAGGAAGTAGTATGTAGCTAAAAAAATGAAAAAATAAGTAAAATAAAACTGTACTTCTAATTTCTCTCTCCCTTCTGTCCGTATTTATTATTAAGAGATGTGAATCAGCTTTATTTTATCTTTCCACTTTCTACGCCTTGGACCCATAAATATTGATAGCAACCAATAATACGGATTTTTATTTTTTTTTTAAATTTGAACCAGAAGATACTGATTGTATACAGAAGGTCTCCAATGTTGGATAGTTTGACTGACAATTACATTTTTTAACTGTATACTTGAGCAGATGTGACCCACATCTAGGGACAACCGTGGCTTGGAGTTTGCATTTGGGTCTTTCCGGGTCCAGGGCTTGGGGGGCTGCAGCGGGCGGTGAGCCCCGAGATCTTGGGGTGAGCCCTGGCCCCCCCCCCACGGTAGAGAGCTGTCAATCAATAATCCGCATCAGAGCTGCAACACACACAGAGTCGTGTCTGTGGATTTCTTGTGCATCCCACGGTGCGTGCATAAGCATGGGGTCTGGCAGGCGGGTGTAGAAGATGCAGTTAGCGGAATCTTCAACTTGGGGTGGGGATGCTCTACCTTTAGAATCCTAGGGTTTTTTTTTTTATGGGGCGCAGAGTGAGCTTTTGGAATATGCATATGATTATGGCAATAATTAGTGTCACATATAACTCCACTGTTAATAATTAT